GAAGGATTCGCGAAAACCTGCGGTCGTTTAAAGCGGAGCCGAGAACACTCGGCAGAGGCGAGTCACTCCTCACCCCGGATCAGCGCTGTAGCGAGAGCCGGTCTTAGCGGTAGGATTCTTGAGCTGGCTTGGTTTCGGATCGGAACTGGGCGGGCGGCGGAATCTGTCTTTTTCGGCTCCGGTGCCGTCTTTTATACCCGTCTACCCCCAATTGTTATTGCTTTTTAGCAATTTTCGGCGGGTAGGGGTAGACGGGTCGGGGTAGCGTGTCTGCGCGCTTGCGCGGCCGGGTGACAGCGCGCCACGTGTGTCTCGCCGGTTCGGGCGTGCTCGGTTGGTCCCGCGGGCGATCGGTTCGCCCGCGAGCGCGTCGTGTGATGTGCTTACGCGGTGAGCGCCCCGTGCGCTCACCCTTCGCCCGGTATTCGGCGGCCTCCGGCGCTTGCCGGGAACGATGCGTCTATCGGGGTGCATCGTTACATGCTTCTACTCAAGTCAACGAGGATGCTCTCAACGAGTTACTGACAAAATTCTGGGTTCAAGAGGAGGTGCCTACTCACGATGTCAACCAACTCACTCCTGACGAGCAGAGGTGCGAAGAGCACTTCAAGGCCACACACTCTCGTGATTCTTCAGGGAGATACGTCGTCAGGATTCCGCTCAAATCGCCAGTATATCTTCTGGGTGATTCGTACCACGTCGCCCATCAGTGCCTCAAGGGACTACGCAGACGATTCTCAAGGGATGTGAACTATCAACGTCTCTATCAACAATTCATGATGGAGTACGAGACACTCAACCACATGACGAAGGCATCATCCATCTCCAGTCGTCGCTCACACTTCTACCTACCACATCACGGTGTTCTCAAGCCTGACAGTACAACAACAAAACTGCGAGTCGTATTTAATGGCTCCAGCGCATCCACATCGGGCTACTCGGTCAACGACCTCATGTATACTGGAGCGAAATTGCATCTGAACATCTCCGATGTTCTCCTCTGGATACAAAGACATCGTCACATTTTCGCTACGGATATCACCAAGATGTACAGGCAGATAAAAATTCACAAGGATGACTGGGAGCTACAGCGGATACTCTGGATGGACGATCAACTCAATGAAGTGCCATACCATCTGACAACCGTCACCTACGGGACAAAGGCCGCGCCGTTCTTGGCCGTTAGGACGCTGTTACAACTAGCAGAGGACGAAGGACATAAATATCCACTGGCTGTGCCATCCATCACTCATGGCAGGTATGTCGATGACATATTTGGTGGTGCAGATACGATTCAACAATTGCAGGAGGTTCCACATCAACTAAAGGGCCTCTGCATGGCGGGCGGCTTCCCACTAGCAAAATGGCATGCTACTCATCTCAACATACTCAAGACTGTCACCGACAGCGAAGACCAAGGCTTACCAATCACATTCGACGACTGCGCAACCAAGATACTCGGACTCAAATGGCTCCCTCATGAAGATACATTTGCATTCTCAACGCGAAGCTCACGCAAGGAAGGCAGGCTCACAAAACGCCTCGTTTTATCTGAAGTGGATCAGATATTCGATCCACTTGGCTTTGCATCACCCGTCGTGATCAAGGCCAAAATTCTCTTGCAGGAGCTGTGGCTGCACAAGCTCCAATGGGATGATCCACTGCCATCCCAGCTCTCAACCCGGTGGCTCTCCATCAGAGAAGAACTCACAAGTCTGGCCAGACTCTCAATACCTCGGTGGCTCAATACATGGAGCGACTCGCAAGTGGAACTTCATGGATTCTCTGATGCTTCTCAATTGGCAATGGCTGCAGTCATATACATATCCGTTCACGACTCAGACGGCGCCACGTTCTCACTTGTGTGCTCCAAAACTAAGGTAGCACCTCTCAAGCGGCTCTCAATCCCGCGACTTGAACTCACGGCTGCTCTTCTACTCTCTCGGCTCATGCAATACGTCACAGCCACTTTGAACATGGACGTTACGGCAACGCATATGTGGACGGACTCTCTAGTGGCACTCTCGTGGATCAGATCTCATGCATCACGCTGGAAGGATTTCGTCAGGAACAGGGTGACTCAAATTCAAGAACTCACTCCAGCTGCTCACTGGAGATACATCCCTGGAACTTCTAATCCGGCTGATTGCGCATCACGAGGCCTCACGACTGCTCAGCTTCAAAACCACGCACTTTGGTGGACGGGACCACCATGGATAATCAAACCAGACTCATGGCCGTCGCAACCAGCACTCTCTGAGGAGATGAGTGCAACAGAAGCTCGCCCAGGCGTTTCGTTATTGACGGTCACGCCGAGGACTGAATATCAATGGGAACTCATCTACAGGTACTCAAACCTCACGAAACTATTGAGGATTACAGGTCTCTGTTTCAGATTCGTCTCACGGTTGAAGAAAGTCCACGACTCATTGCCTGTCAGACACATCTCTCCAGAGACCTTGGAGAAAGCGAGGCTCTTCTGGATTCAGGCAACTCAAGCAACGTACTTCTCGCACGAGCTCAC